CAGCAGCCAAATTCCTCGAACACGCCCACACACGCGAGCACATTATGATGTAAGTCATTATTAGAATGCATCAGATAAATTATTGGAAACATGATTAATTTACCTCCCGAATCTATTGCGTAGCCTACTATCTGCGATTAAAAAGCACTCTTAATCGCAATATCAACTGCCATGTTACGGTGAAAAAAATTAAATAAAGAAAGCATCAAGATATACTTACTTGACCGATTATTTGCAGTATAACATCTCATCTGCAAACAGCCAAACGTGGCGCTCCTTCTGTTCTCTTCTTGTTTGGGAAGCTTCAGTTTCCTCACGGACCGCCATTACAGAAACATAACAGCGCATTTTTCAAACTCTAGTGAAGTAGTGCGTCATCATGACGTAGTATTTCTGGCGCATGCGCATTAAACACCATGTTCGTATATTTCATGCATATTTCCATAGACAGTATATTTTTATTTCAGCTTTTATGTTTAAGTTGAAGTTGTTCTAACTCATTGTGTTGTTAGACTCTGTAAGTTCACAAAACTTTACTCTTTCACCTAACTAAAAGTCAATATTTTTGTTCAGTGTAGTGTAGATTGCAATTAAATGTGTTTAATTGACTTAGAACAACATAATGATATTGAAAGTATTCTGTTCACAGATGTAAAGTACAACACATTACTGTTATGCTAAGACTCCTCTCATAAATTACATTTTATTGTCAAATATTATGTAAAAAATTGACAAAAATGTCAACAATAAGTTGTACTGGATTAGGCCTACTGTATAAGCAAATGTATTGGAAAAATACATTTCAAGTGCATTAATGCACACAGTATATATTATAGACTAAACACATTAAAATACATTAACAAATTATTTTTGGACCACACACTTGAGTTGAAATTAAAATAAATTATTTTCCATGTTTTCCATTAAAATTCTTATTTTATTTAGTATATTAGTCAATACATCAAAATAAAATTCATTTAATAACTTTAACTTTAATAACTTTAAAACACTATAAAATGCATGTTTAAGTAAAACTTAATTAGACATTATTACAAAGTGCATTTTTAAAAAGTACACTTAAGTGTGTTTAGAAATATTGTGATGAAAGTGTACTTACTTTAAGTTAAGCTTAATTAGATATTATTACAAAGTGCATTTGTAAAAAGTGCACTTAAGTGTGTTTAGAAATATTATCATGAAAGTGTACTTTCTTTAAGTAAAACTTAATTAGACATTATTACAAAGTGCATTTTTAAAAAGTACACTTAAGTGTGTTTATAAATATTGTGATGAAAGTGTACTTACTTTAAGTTAAGCTTAATTAGATATTATTACAAAGTGCATTTGTAAAAAGTGCACTTAAGTGTGTTAATAAATATTGTCATTAAAGTGTATTCCCTTTAAGTACACTTAAGTGGTCTTTAATTTTAATTATATTATATTATCTGCAAGTGCACTTTTCAAAAAGTATACTTTTATGAGTTTAAGCACACAAAAAGTACGCTTTCAATACAATTAAACACACTTCATTTTCACAAGGGTAGCCATGTAACAAGCGGGATAATGTAGAGCGAGGCGGTTGCTATAGCGAATACAACCCCTTCAGGCTGATTCAGTTACTTATTCAATTACTTCACAGCATTTATTATATACACCTCGGAAAAATACCGAGGTCCGGACCTAGGTGACCTCATAGCTGGCTACGGCCATGGCTTTAAAAAAATAAAATAAAAAATAACCTGTGTGATTTTGACTGCACATTCACAAGCTGGTTAAAAGTAACTGGAATGGCTAAGAGAAGTGGAATAAATGGAGTTAGATTAGGTGTGGTTTTATTGTGTTCAACAGCTATTACAAAAATATAATTTTTGGAGGACAGAATTAATAATCCAAAGTGTTTGAAACCAACATATACCAGCATATACCACAACATGAATACGTTTTTAGGGTTTTGCCAAATACTTCTGAAGATTGTCAGAACATTCAATTTGAAAATGTAATGTTTCTGACAATCTTCAGAAGTATGATCATATTTCAGCTTTACAATTTCCTATTCCATAATCTATCTCTCTTGTTGTTGTTTTTTTTTTTTTTTTTTGGCTCATTAATAAAATTTGCTCACTGGCCATTGGATGGTTATTCGCATGGAGAAAGTGGAAAAGGGGTTGTGTTTCCTTTCAGAACCACATGAGGGCGACAGAAACCGCTTTCATTTTAAATTCAGATGAATGTAGCTAAACCCCACCAACCTACGTTTCAGAAATTACAATGGCTGCTTAACTGTATAGGTTAGTTCTTTGGATCAAAACTTGCTGGAAATACATGGATTTTCTTATGTTAAAATGAAGGGCCTGTAAAGTTCGACTTAATTTTAAGCGGTAAAGCACATTTTCATATTTTGTAACAGATTTTACATCACAAAGTTACATTTAATATGAATCTAACATAATTCTCATAGGCCTTCTCAGGCGACTTCATGTAGTGAGAGTGCAGAGCTGATAGTGGAGATGAATAATTAACTGCAGCTCCCTGATCATGTGTCAATATCCTCCCTTCAGGCTCAGGTTCAAAGATTATATGCAAGTACAAGCAGATCATGTAGAGTGCAGCAGTATTAGACTCTTTAATGTCAGTCTTCATTGTAAGTCAGTCTTTCTAATGAGTTATCAGGTGGGGTACATAATATCTACACTGAGCAATGCTGGTATTTCTTCATTCATGTCTTCAGTCCTGATAATCATGCATGATTTAAAATGATTCAAAGAGCAAGTGGAAGCAAGAACATCTGACAGAATTCACCTGATCAATGCCTAAAATGTCCTTCTATTAGTGACCTAGAAATTGTTTTACAATTTAAAACAAAAAATCCTAAAAGTGTTTGTTTTGATCCCAACTGTATATTTAAATCAAACAAAATGATAATGGTTGCTCCATAATATGTTCTCTCTTTACATACCATATCATCTCCTAAGACTGACATACACACTAAATCTAAATTACAGTTAACACTCATCTAACCTACTGTACATTCATTTGATTACCATGAAAATGTTGCTAATTATGAAAATTGCTTATTTTCCTGCAGTTTTAGATATAAATGTCTGCCAAATAAATAAATGTGAAAATGCCAGCAATATGGGGAAAAAAATATATTAAAAAAACTTTTTTTTTGTTGCAATTTTTATTTGACCCATACAATCACAATTTCACCATCTTCTTGGAAGACAACAACATTTCTTTCCCTAATTATCATTCTTTTATTTTGGCCAAAAAGGGCGTTGGTCCAATAGCAAAGCAGTACAGCACAAAGAGACCACAAGAAATCGTTACAAACAATAACGACAGAGGAAGATTCACAATCATTTTTATGAGCCAGCTGTCCCACATCCTCAGTCTTGCCCACAAAGAACAATAGTGGCATACACTGTAAATATGACTATAAGACTAACTGGAAGCAGCAGACATTACGGATGCCAGATTCGATTAATTAGTAAGATGTGGGACCACGACTCATTAAGATTGTAAGACTGTGCCAAGTATACAGTATAAATTAAGTACCAATATGACCAACATAACACGCTAGAGCCTAACTTGCTGGAAATGTCAATGCTACAACCTCCAATGAACTCATTTGATAGACACTTGATGGAAGAGCATGTACATGTGAACTATGCCGTATGGACTGATTCGGCTACTAGATGATGAATTTCGTGGTTGCAGCTGAAGTACTGAGCTAATTAAAAGCTTAGGGAATGTTTGCATTGCTGATCACAGAAACACCAACATTTAGTGCATTACCAGTATAAAATGAGATGAATTCTGTGGTATAACAGGAATGTGTTGGAGTTAAGCAGACTGTTCTCATTACTCCTTTTTCTGCTAGTATCGTTGCATCTTAGGAAACCGTCAAGAATGTGTCTGGGTCATATTTCACTGAAAAATCAAAAGGAGCTAATTATATTTTGCATCATGAAGCCTACTTGTTCTTCCATTTTGACATTATTTTCACAGCAATTTAGCACAATTATCATTAAAGAAATGCAAAAAAACAATGATTGTAAATTATTTAAATGTAAGTGTTTAAACAATGGTATGTGTGTGTATATATTAACTGTAGTCATTAAAATTATCACTGATTTGCATAAAATAATTTGGACAAAAGCACTCTTGATAAAACAATATTCATTATGTTAGAGATAATTGTGTTTAACTGTGATGAAAGAAATATCACAAAGCAAAAAAAATAATAAAAAAAAACTTTTCATATTCCTAATGCAAAATATGATTTTCTTGTGACCAAGACATGTTCATCCTTTTGCTGTAAATCGATAGCTTTTACGATTCTTCGATATTTCAGACTCTGGACCAATGTTTGTACCCACAGCTCAAGTTCTTTTATCAGAGGATAGAGGAATATGCTTATATGGAAAAACACATACAGAAATGTATTGGCACAGTTTAACGCAATGGAACGTTTTTTGATCCCTGAATTTGGGAATGTTAAATGGAAATCTGAGAGCATACATGTGGCTTTGCTAAACCAAAGCAGTGTGCTTAATATAGAATCCAATAAAGCCACTTCACATCATGTTGGAAATTAGGGCGTGTTTTTAAGGTACCAACACAATAAAATTCCAGCCTACGAATTGTTAACTATTTCCGAATGATTTATCAGTACAATAGATGGGAAAATATGAAGGCCATCTATGCAAATTGGCAAGTGATTCAATTACTGGACCCAAAGGGACTCTTGTATTTCTTGGACTGTGAATTAGTTCAATCTGGAATAAACATGGGGTTGCAGCCCAGATTAGTTGACCTAATTACTACACATCCAAGCGCTCTGATCCAAACAAGATTAAGACAAATTAGTGGCGTTTAAGCGTCGGAACCAAAGTGGACACAAGACAGGATAATCAAAACAAAAGCACAAAGGTGTCTCAGATTGAGGGTAAATATCAGAGTGAGAATGTGCTTTTCTGTTGATTGTTTTTGGCATGTGGCATGGCATTGAGACATATAAGGCAGGCACCGCCAGCGGAGCAGAGGGGAACAGGCAGGCCTCCCTTTGGGAATGTGGACATGGACCAGGGAAGAGAAGAGGATGTTGGATGCTACCAGGTTTGGCTCTCATGCAATCTTCAGAAACTGATCCACTGTATCAGCCTCCACTGCCTCAGAAAACATCTCGTAGTTCTGAAAGAAAGAGAAACACACACAGTATGAGTATCTATGTAGTTCTGCAACTAAATGAATCTGATCAAAAATAAATACAAATATTTATTTTATTTATTGAATTACATTTTGTATATTGTATATATACATTGTATATTGTATAAAATGAATTAATTATATTTAAAGGGATAGTTCACCGAAGAATGAAAATTCTGTCATCATTTACTCACTCTTACGTTGTTCCAAACATGTATGACTTTCTTTCTTCTGTAGAACATAAAGGAAGATATTTTAAAGAACTCTTTATAAAAACTAAACAGTTTCGGTTCCCATTGACTTCCATTGCACTGATTTAAAAAAAAAAAAAAAAAGGGAAGGAAGTCAATGGGAACCAAATCTTTTGGTTATCAACATTCTTCAAAATATCATCTTTTGTGTATAGAGGAAGAAAGTCATACATGTTTGGGACGACATAAGGGTGAGCAAATGATGACAGAATTCTGACAGAATAACATTTTTGGGTGGACTATACCATTCAATAAAATACATTAGAAAGATGAAAGGAATGGTTTATCTAAAAATTAGAATTCTGATATTATTCACTGAAAATGTGATGCTTCACTGTTGCATTCAAATTTGTGTTCACTGGCAGAATTTAAAGGGGTCATATAATGGTACATGCACTTTTACAAGTTGATTGTACTGAAATGTGTGTTGGCAGTGTCTGTACACAACCATCATATAATGATAAAAATCCATCCAGTGGTTTTGTTTTAATCTCCTTATATGTTTTCCCCTGCCTCAAATCGAGCCGTTCGAGCCTGTGACGTCACAGGCTCGCACGCCCCTCCCACGATTGTTGATTGACAGGAGCGTTTCAACACAGACCCGCCCTCGCTCGTGAGCTAGCTGTCAATCATAGTCTGCGCGGACCGGCGCGGTCATTATTGATATGCTGGAGCACTGTCTATGAGCAGAATGGCGTCTAAGCGATTGTGGTGTTCTGTTCTTGGGTGTAATAACGAACACAGCAGTCATTTTAATGTTCCTAAATCCAAACCGCTGAAGACGCAGTGGCTGTGTTTGTTTTCGAAGGGAATATTCCCCACGAGCAACGTCAATGCTCTCATGTTTGCGCGAATCATTTCTCACACCAGACTGCTTTATAAACGAGGATCAGTATAAAGCTGGATTTGCTAAGAAGCTGCTCATGAAAAAAGATCGGTACCAGATATTAGTGTTCCTGCTGAATCTCCAGAAGAACGGAAGTGAGTGTAACGTTTTATTAAACTTTATATTAATATATTAATCTTTGCAAATCGCTAGCTGCACGCTTCACAATGAATGCGTCTAAGGTTTACACTCAGGGTACATTACGGCATGTTTTCTATGTATGACGTTCTCAATATAATTCATAATCCCACGTTTATACTGAACAACGCGTTATGGTTATTGTGTTATTGTGTTACAAATGGTGTATGCACAGAACAGAGGGGCGGAGTCAGCAAAGCTCATGATCATTTAAAGTCATATGCACTGAAACAGCGTGCTGAAAACAGAGCTGTTTTTGACCAAGTAAAATAAGTGTTTTCTTACAATACTAATGAGAATTTTTAATTAAAGTATATTACAAACTTTTAATTTAGACCCTAAAGAATCATATTAGCTTGTACAAAAATGGCATTATATGACCCCTTTAAGTAAATAATGACTTGAATTTTCATATGGCTTCAAAAGACTAGTATGGACTAGTTTTATGGTACTTCTGTTTCCATTTCCCATTAACTTTAATTCTGGGAGAAAATTGTCAAAATATTGTTCAAAGATGCACCTCAGTTCCACAGAAGAAAGTCATGAAGGTTTGACAAAAGGGTGGGGACATTATGACAGAATTTTTATTTTCAGGGAACCATTCCTTTCAAGTCCTAAATTCAAACCATGAAACACCCTGTTGCCAGTCCTCCTTACCCCACAGTACTGGTCTTCATTAAATATCTGAGGTGGGATTGCTGTGGGGTTGCCTGATTTACTCCTCATCTCATCCCGAACTGCACCGCCCACCGAGATGTCAATCAACTCATACTTGATGCTCTTACTGTCCAGAATACGCATAACCTCCGCCTGCTGAGACTTGACCTGAGAAACAAGGAGAACTATCAAGGTCAAGCAGTAAACAACAGTACAGTCTCTTTCCTGGGCCTATTTGTTAAATAACTGAACCATGCTGTTGTCTAATTTGCATTTTTCAAGCCACCACTAGATTTATTCAAATTTAGCTCAAGGTTCAAGGATCGTTTTAAGAGAACAAATTACAAAAGATATACAAGATTCACAGTCTAATATAATGCAAGTGTATCTTCGATAAAATAATTTACAAGCCCCTTGAAACATAAAAAGGTCAACACAGTGATAGAAATGTGAATGCATCTTGACACAACTTCCTGAAAAGTCACATGATCATGTGAGCACATTTTTGGGGAAGTTAATTTACTGCACCAATTCAGGAAATACATTAAAATGGTACAGTAAAAAACGCCGCTCATCTGGTCTTTTTACCAACCAAAACAAATCATACATTGCATGAATAGGTGTGGAAAAAGTGTACTTTGCTTTTAACAGCCAGTGGTTTCACTACAAAATGCTGAGTTGATTATTAATAATGAAACACTATGTAACGAGGCTGTATTCAGGAAGTTGGGTCATATCTGCAGAAACCACACCTTTGGCAATTCACCGGTTAAAAATTAAACATTAACCTACATTTAAATGGAAAAATACTATTAGGGGACTTTAATGCATATCTCATACATTAAACATGTTTCCAGCAATCCTTTCACTGACCCTGCATTTACAATTGGTAGGCTCTAGGACACATCGGTCTGCCGCAAACTCTCTGCGGTTTTGTTGCTATATTGCTTAATTTGCTTTTTTTATTTACTTGTGTTTTGTAAAGCACCTTAAGCACTGACTGCAAGCGCTAACATGTCATTATTTTTGTTGTCATTAGCAGTAGTATCTATAATATGTAACAAGCATTGCATGACATGGCAGGTCATGTGATCCCAACATAGTGGCACCCATGAGGGGCGACCCACTCCATGTAGACTAAATCATTTTAATAACATTTCTCAAAAGTGCTGCTCATTTATTAGATTGTAAAACTTTAATAAGCAAAAAAAAATGAGAGTATCAATATGTTCTGCTTATCACGTGATTTGAAGGCCCGCGATTATAAAAATGCAGCAAAATCAGCCATAAATCATTGGCATTCTTTGTTTATTCATAACAGATGTGCACAACCTCAACAAAGCAGAAATGTAACTTGCAGAAGCTAAATGCATCGTTTCAATCTGATTTGCCATAATGACGTGAACGATTTAAAGCGAACGTGTTTATTTATGAGCAACATCTAATGGGCGCTCGTGCTAAACAATTGTACACAGGTTCTACTTCATGCACCATTAGTGCGAGACCAACTAACAGTTACATTCAACAGACAGACAGACAACATGACTTCCGCTCGCAATGCAATGCACATCTTCAATCGCTACACATCCGGAATCTACAAATAGCTACGTTTTGCAAATACTTAAAACGTTTGAGTGCTACAATAATATTTTAGTACGGCATTTATAAGCGTTCTTATGTCGCAATAGCCTTTAAATGTGGCTAGATGTATGTAAACGTAGCAGTTGGGTGTGTCTAGAAGCCTAATCCTCCATTTCAAATGTACTGAACTCTGCATTCTTCAGATTTAATGCTACTTTCTGAATCCACATGGTCACAGGTTTATTCTCACCTCTCTTGATGCAGTGACGGTGGTGTAATACAGTTTGATGCCCATAGTTGCTGATGCTGAATCGTAATGTCCCTACTCCCTTTGTGTATCTGGAGGCGATCAGTTCCCGTTCTCTTGCTCTACAGTCGCCGTTTCACCACTGACACACTATTCACTCATTTAAAGAGACAGCGCCTCATTCTACATAAGGAAATGCTGTCTCATTTTGGCTTCCTCATGAACATAATGCGTAACCTTTCCATTGAACAAAAGGTTCTTTATAGTGGATACAATTTCTTTATATTATTAAAATGTTTTTTTTTTGGGGCAGTGGGGGGATTTACACTAAGAAAAAAATGGTTCTTTAAGTTAGTGAATCAAAAATGTCATCGCTGTGAAAAAAATGTTATTGGAACCTTTTTTTTTTTAGAGTGTGGAAGATAATTCTGTTCTCAAACCATGTTTCTCCAACTTTGCTGAATTATGGACAGTAAAGACTTGTATTTTGTAATTTACAATATTCTCTGTTACAAATCCCCCTCCCTCTTATTAAAATGAATTCCATAAACATATCTGTCAATGATGATGATGATGATGGTTAAAGTCTCCTTATTTATCACTTCATCTTATATTTTGTGAGTTTTGTCAATGGGGAGAAATTTTAAATAGCCAACCGAAAAACAACTGATTATTGAAAACTACCAAATTCCTAGATATAATCTGTCAAAATACATTATAAATAATCAAGAAAAAAGGTGAACAATCAACTTCTGTAGTAGGTAAGCAGCTTGCAGATATTTAGAATGGCCTTGTGTGAAATTTAGCAAAAATAGATCAAATAATATTATTCATAATAGTACATTAATGTGAGATTATAGAGTTTCATTTTTGAAAGTAATTCAATGCAAATCCCACCGTATGGTTTGACCCAAATACCCCAAGTAACAATTCTAAAAGAGGAAGTTCCTCCCTCAGATAAAGTTTATCAGTGTGTTTGCAGTGGAGTTTGCTCCAATCCACATGCAGCCCTGCAGAAATTTTCCAGGAAACTGTCAACGGTTTCCTGTTTTACAGTCCACATGGGACATTCAAGTTCTGCATAGATCTGTTTTCTGACCTTTCCACATTTGTGCTAACAAAACTATTTAAAACTAACATTAAGATGACAGTTCAAATGAAAACACAAGAGGGCAGTACAGCGTCACTTTGAATGTTTAATCAAACCACATGACCATCTCCAAACAAGGTGGCCTTTCTTTCATAAAATGTTCTAGTCAGGCCCAAAGGAGTTTGGAAAATATGAAAGCACTTACAGAACTTTTGATAGAAATAGGTTAAGAATGTGCAGTAGTATGTAGCATACTTCTATTTAAAATGTGCATTGTTCCATAATACAAATGTTTTTTTAAACAGTAACAGCAAAAGAAAACAGGACATGTTCCGTTCAATTTAAGTTTCCTTTAACCCTGAAACACAACTTAATACATACAATACGTAATACAATTTACTAGTAAAAACACTGGTGAAAAATCAATATAGAAAGAAAATCTCCTCATATTAACAGTGCATAGGGCCCATTTTTCTAGAGTGCACGGATTCCCAAATAATTCTGTATTTAATAGTAATTCAATCATTTAACAACACATTTTCATGTTCACAGATATTGAACTAGGATAATGGTCACATGACAAGCAATTTAAATACAAAAAAAATAGTTTGTTTGACGGTTTTATTTTATTTTCTTTCTTTCTTTAAAAAAAAAAATACTTTGTCAAATCACAAACCTCCTGTAGTTCCCTCATAAATCCTCAGGTTGTTTTGTTCATGAACCTCAATTTGGGAAACCCAAACACAAGAAGTCTATATGTGCACTACCATTCAGGAATGTAACCACCATTATTTGACCAGACTGCATTTTTTTAAACACAAATTTGGGAGGCATAAACAATGTAGCAGTAGGTTTGATGTCTTCTTTTTAAGACTTTGCATGCTAATTCATACTGTTAAATGCAGTGGTGTAAAGTATTTGAGTAAATGTAATCAGATACTGTATTAAGTATCTTTTGGGCTACTTTGTAGATATTAGCAACTTTTACTCTCTACTTGACTACATTTAAGATATATATGGTATATATACTCTTTACTCCAATACATTTGTGATGAGTAATTTAGTTACTCATTCCATTTTGCTTGGCATCTAACTTTTTCTGCAGCAGTTTATTTCTGCTACAAAAGAAGCGATATCGCCATCTACAGGGCATTGAAGATACTATATCTTGTGCATTTTGCCCTTACTCACCCAAACTAGTTAACAAGGCTAGTGTTCGCAAGTGCATTAGCAGTTAGTTGCTGAATTTCAAGGGGTTACATATATGATATGAGGACGTGCCTGCAGCCAGTAACAAGGCCGAAATCAGTGTCCAAGTGCAAGTAGGCTTTGACTATCTCATTTCACTTAACATTATTTTATCCGTTATATTGAAGAGACCTTTTTGAAGAATATTGGTTTACTTATTCCCTTTTTTGAGTCCTTGAGCAGACTTGAATGTTTGTAAATGTTTAAGAGGCTGTTGCCTCAACCATGATTTATTGCAATTTTGATCTTAGAAAATAAATATCTGATTGCTCTCCACACAAACCAACTGTTTCATGTTTTTTTCACTGGCATTGAATAACTCATCTTTGAGCCACCTGGATTCAGTATGAGTAAAATACTTACTGTTAAAATCAGATACTATAGCCCCCGGTTTCACAGACAATGTTTAAGCTAGTCCCAGACTAAAATGCATGTTTGAGCTGTTTTAACTGAAAAAAAAACTTATCTTTAAATATGTCACTGCCATTGTTTTGCCTCAAGATCCACACCAGTAATGTTTTTTTTCTAAGGCACATATATAAAAGCTACTTAAAGGTCCTAATTGAACTAAGGCTTAATCCTGGCTTAATATAAGCCCTGTCTGTGAAACCAGACCTAGAAATGTTACTGGAATTGGTGACTTGTTACACTGTGAGGTACCTGTACTTTTACTCAAGTATGGTTTTCAGGTACTCTTTACACCTCTGGTTTAAACAGTAGTAGGCAGTATACACAGTGGAACATTATGTAGTGCTTTAATTAAGGATCCCAATCGGGTCAGCCAAATCACTGGGTGTCCCTTTTACATAAAGAGGAGGATAATTGGGAGAAGAGAACAAAAGTTAGAAATGCTGATCTGGTGAAAAAATAAATGTGCTTCTGTTTTCCTTTCCCTTTAACATCCAGATTAAAGGGTTAGTTCGCCCAAAAATTAAAATTCTGTCAGTAATTACTAACCCTCATGTTGTTCCAACCCCGTAAGACTTTCATTCATCTTCGGAACACAAATGAAGATATTTTTGATGAAATCTGAGAGCTGGCTCACTCCTTCATAGGCTGCTAGGTAATTGCATCTGCCGGCCCAGAGAAGTTAGTAAAGACATCGTTAAAATAGTCAAAGTTACAGTGGCTCAGCCTTAAGTTTATCAAGCGACTAGAATACTTTGTGCGTAAAAACCCCCCCAAAATAACGATTTTCTTCTGTGTGGGCCTCTGATAATGAGTTCACGAGAGCACCACGACGCATGCGCGAGAACTGAGAAGATGACGCTCACGATCATTTAATGGGAAAGTGTGAAAGGTAAGCAATTCATTTTGCGGCATTGGTAAGGCACTTTTACGTTTTCTCGTTGGCTTCTCATGATTCAGACATCCAGGAAATGCACACTTTAGAACCATTTTAAACACTACATCGAGACCCATCTGTGTCATCTTCTCAGTTCTCGCGCATGCGTCGTGGCGCTCTCGTGAACTCACGTCAGAGGCCCACACGGAAGAAAATGAATAGTCTAATAAAGTCGTTATTTTTGTTGTTTTTTTGCGCACAAAAAGTATTCTTGTCGCTTGATAAACTTAGGGTTGAAACACTGTAGTCACTTGAACTATTTTAACGATGTCTTTTCTGGGCTGGCAGATATCGATTACCTAGCAGCCTATGAAAGAGTGAGCCAGCTCTCAGATTTCATCAAACGTATCTTAATTTGTGTTCTGAAGATGAACGAAGGTCTTACGGGGTTGGAACAACATCGGGTTGAGTAATTACTAACAGAATTTTCATTTTTGGGTGAACTATCCCTTTAAGTATACTTGTTTATGCTGTAATTAGGCTCTGGTTTGTTTGACTTAAAGGCAATAAAATAAGGGACCAGTAAGTGCATTAATGCTATCAAGAAAATCAGTGCACTGGCCATTCAAAACAAATACAAGCAATCTCAATAATACAGTACTACTGTTATCTACTATAGACGTGTGTGATAAGAATATCTAAAATGCTCATTAAGGCACAGCAGTGATCATAATTGCATTGGGAATGCTGTCCATATTTATAGGACATGCACTGTAGAAAAATCTCATTATCACTGATATCAAAATGTAGACAAATTGTTATTTTTATACCACCCGATAACCAATATGATGATTGATATTATAACATTCTTTGCTGTTGTTAAAAAAATACCTTACTCAATCTCCAATTTAGAATCTAGTACCTCAAACATACATCAAGTAACATCAGACATCAAGGAAATCAAACCAATACCAAGTCTACAATTATAACATATTACAATATATTTACATATGTATGCTGGCTTGATTGGCGTTTACTTGCTGGCTGGTGTGTAACAGTAAGATACACCACAAAATTGTCATTAAAGGTTTAGTTCACCAAAAAAAAAAAATTTATATATATATATATATATATTCTGATATCGTTTACTCACCTTCATGTTGTTCCATCCAAACCTGTATGACTTTCTTCTTGTATGTGAAATGGAAGTCACTTATCACCAAAACTGTTTGGTTACCAACATTCTTCAAAATATCTTCTTTTTTGTTTCACAGAAGAAAGCAAAAGAAAGACATACAGGTTTAGAACCATATGAAGGAGAAAAAAAGATGACAGAATTTTTACTTTTGGTGAAATATCCCTTTAAAGGGGTCATATAATGCCATTTTTGTACAAGCTAATATGATTCTTTAGGGTCTAAATTAAAAGTTTGTAATATACTTTAATTAAAAATTCTCATTAGTATTGTAAGAAAACACTTATTTTACCTGGTCAAAAACAGCTCTGTTGGCACTTATTTTCACCAATTGAACAAGTTCAATCGTTGTTTGTCAGGTCGTGGAACATCTGAGAAGTGACATACTGTAATCTGGTGATTGTCCGCACAGTTTGGCATCGGTCATGAAAGCATGATCCCTAACTTTAACACTTCTGATTAGTTGATAGGAATGTTGTTACAGAACCAAAAAATATTGATCCAGGCACGCGCAGAATCACTGTTAGCTAATAGCTATATGTTCTTTCTTACATAAACCTTGTCATCAGAAAATGCCCTTGTTTCCATCATAACAGTAATGCTCCTTGACAGCGCCTTGACATTTTTTTTGTATTATTCTAAACCTAACTATTCCTATTCTTTACTTAGTTTTCCCCCTGTAGTCGACCAATCTTTTTACTTTCTCCAACATAAACAAGGCTATTAGAGCAGACATGACAAATGTTAAAATAAAGAGCGAAAAAAAGAGCGATGCCTCGCCATCAGCATGGAGATTCACATAGAAGTCTCTGCGGTTGAGGTAGTCCAAAAATGAAGCGTGGATCTGGCAGACTGTACACAGAGCAAGCAGCACATGAAACACTTGATGACCCTGACCTAAGAAGTCACAGTGACCTGGGAACCAGCGCTCGGGAACAGGCTGAGTGAAGAAAAAAGCACTGGAAAGAAAGAAAGCCACTTGGCCAAAGTGAAAGAGCAGAGCAGGGCTGCTTCTGGAATCGCCTCTTGACCAGGAAGGAAACCAGGTGATAAAACGATGGAACACAGGACTGGTGTCCCAACTGTAGGCTACGGCTGAAGGCACCACTTGGCCTATTTTACGAACCCATGGAGGAAGGCTGTAATTGCGATACTTCCCGTAACAGCAGCCGAAGCAAGACAGGCAACACAAGAAGCTAGCAATAGGCATGAAAAATCCTCGGACACATGCATGCCAACTTTCTTCAATAGCGTAGTAGTAGTGTGCCACTGCGCTTCCATACTGATACAGCGACACACCTACATAATCCAGGTAAAAGAAGGCGTAATGGCAGAGTTCCGATTTTCCTGCCAACAGGTGGGCCACGGCGCTAAAGGTCATGTAGACTGTTGACGACAAGAGAAGGATGAGAAGTGGCCAGGAATGAGGATCGTTCATGAAATCTACGGTCTCCGATAACTGGACAGTTTTTATGAGGACCACTAGTGCTCCGACTAGGTGCGTCCAGACATTTACAGTCTCGTTGTGCCGCTGTAAGAGCGACAGGAAGTAGAAGCGCCAGTTCCGGTGGAGCGCCCTGTAGCCAGAGTAAATGTAGCGCTCACGGAAAAATTGTGGCACCTCCGTGTCACACAGGGTGTCGGTCTTGGAAGGCAGGGCCTCGGAGAGCATCTGGGGAACTCGCCTCAACTGCTGCAGATTAATGAAGAGTCGGCCAATCTGCTCCATAACGATTGTTGCCATGGTAATCTCTGGAGTACCGGGGAATAGAAATTTACATTCCAGATACCGACAGCCACACAATAGTCCAGGCCAGAACTGACGACACACTGGCGTATCTGGGAAATCAATTAAGAAATATCTGTGAAGGGGAAAAAATATTTACACCATTACAGTTTTTAAAACAATTGTTCTGCCAAAAATATGAAACCTGCAATATTACACAGTACTATTAATACTTAAGTGTTAACTGTAACAGAAATGTGAGATGGCACCAGCTGCGTTCGAATGAAACGAGAGAGCACGAGTTTGCAATGTGATGAGAAAAACATGAAAGAATTGCTGGCTTTAAATACCTGGATGAGCAGTCTGTTATACAGTGTTGTTATTGACGACGGTCATTATCGGGTAATAACAGACCTTGGAAAGTATATTAAATGGAAAGTAGACAAATAATATCTCCAAATAATATAATCATCTTTTTTTTCAACATCATGATTCAGGGTAAAAATGTACAATTAGTAACTTTTTTGCAGTTCGTTTAAACTCGTGCAGTGACAAAATGACAAAATATTTCTCTCAATTAATATCACCTAATTAATTTTACAAAAATATTATCATAATTTACAGAAGAATTACATAAAATAAAAAAATTGTGAAAGGACGAAGGCTTTAAACTTTCTTCATACAAGGAGGAAGGATGTTATGTTAACTCTCATATAAATATAGTTGTCATGAAACTCTAGATAGGCTCATAGGTCCTTTACATGCAATCTGTTAGCAAACACATCATTTACTACATGGCACTCTGTTGGTTCTGCAGCCAATGAGATTGCTTGTTGCGTTTAAATAGTGTGGTTCAGTGTTCACTGGGCCTCTGAACTCCTCGACCTCCCCCAGCTCCACCTGTCTAGATCTGCTATGGGATTTATATTATTCATCCAGCAGCAGCATATCTTACTTGCTGCTCACAGCAGCATGTCAGTGTATCTAATGGCAGTAAGTCCATACTTGCTCTGCAGCTGCAGCCTGCATAGTACATAGTCCACCAAGACCAAATATATTAACACTGTCATATCCATTAACGTGATACAAATATTTTGAGAGTTGTCATGGTGAAATAAAGACACACAGGAAACCACATTTGTGACACTCAATCCCTCCCAGTTTCTGTAGTCAAAGAGCTAAGGGTGAAAGGAAACATCTAATTTAAGTCACCTACATTATTGTTCAGAGTAACTTTAATTAGAGTTTAAAGCTCTTATTATGAGTAATTGACGGTTCAAATTCATCCAAAACTGAATATACTGCCGTTTGCTCACCATCAAGTTGATCAGACCGAACAAAACAAGAGGAAGTTTGTTTAGGCTAATCTTTCTATAAAATAAAACCATAGACTGTTAAGCTGCGAAAAGATAGCACATTTGATTTGAGTACTTTATTCCAAGTCTTTTGATGTCAACATTGTAACAATTCTGACTGACAACAAAAATTGTTATTTACCAAAAACCTTTCATCTGCCACAACTCTAAAATCTCTCTCACACACACACTATATTAGTAGCAACTTTACAGAACCCATGGATTCATTTAAATAGAGTCTGTGATAAATGGTATTAAACCTAAAAGAAAACTAAAATGAATAAGTCCACAGAGTCAGGTCTTGTCTGTAACTTGTCATTGAATACATTTCCAGCTCTTCACTTGCTGCTGAAGAAAATCCTAAAGAGTAGATCCAGACTTTAAGTTTGCATCAACTAATGTGTGTATGCATCTTATTGTAAAGTGTTACTAAGAATATAACAAACATTTGGGGGGGAAAAAACACATTTGGAGGTAAATGACATTTCCATATCTAACGATTAGATGACCTGGCATGCCATTTTCTAGACATTAGCAACAGGTAGTCAACAAACAAAGTTGACTAGAGTCTCTTCATATTGATGAAAATCATTTAGTTATAGGCTATAGGCTAATCGGTTCTTGCGGTAAAAAAAAACAAACAAAAAAAAACAATTTGACACCCGTAAATAAGGTATTCCAGCATTTCATTCATGCGTGGAAAAAGAGGCCGAACTTACTGTCACAAACGGTGTCATACTATGTTCTAAATTACAATCAAATTAAATCTTAAGACTCGGTGAGTGTAATCACAAACAAGCACATGAGATGCGCCGTACAGCTCTTCTAACACGGACAGAGAATAGAAAAGCACAGATGTCTGTATTTACCTTCTTTGGTGTCTTCCGCAAATCTGGCACCGCAAATAATTCCCGAGTGGAAACTGACTGGATATTAAGAGACTAGCTGTTTTCTTCCTCATATGTTTCTCGCTAGCCACGCCTTATGTGTCGGCGGCACTGCGAGCTACGGCACGTAACAAAAACCCTATTAGTCAGAGAACATATTTCTTGACATTGCTGTGATAATCTATCCTGAAACGATTGTTTTGATGACACATAATATAAAAAAAACTAAAGCAATAAAAAAACTTAAGTTAGCACTAGATTGTTGTTTGCTGTCCCATTTAGTGCTCTGTTTTAATGTAGAATTTCACCTCTGTTGGGTCTTCAGAAGATCTTCAAAGTATGGCTCAACACATGTATTGCAGCATTGCTGATTTATAGTGGGGTTTAAAATATTTTACACTGACTTCTCGGACATACACAAAATGGATGATTTATTGTAGATGCATGAGCAAAATATTTTTTAAAACACATTTCTCACAATTTAATGATTATTTCGGACAAATATTTAAAAGAAATATAATACAGAAACTGTCAGGGTTATATCACTTCTGTCTAGTCTATTTCTTGGTTTTCTTGGCTAATCCTGTTGTGTCTTGTCTGTGTGGCTCGTTGCATGTGTTCTCATGTTGTGCTCTCCTGTCGATTGTCTAGCCCCTCCCATCTTGTTATTGATTAATTTGCCCCACTTTCGTCGTTGTATGTTTCCCTGCTGTGTAGTCAAGTTAAGTCAAGTCAAGTCAAGTCAAGTCAAGTCATCCCCCTCGTGGTAGTTTTTGTTGTCTGTTTTATTTTATTTTCATTAGAGCTAATCTGAAGAGCAAAACCTCACATTTACCCAATCGGACAGTACAAAAACAGCACATTCCAGTATAGAATATGCCATTTTTGCAAGATAAAATATGGGTATCTGTTGGATGTTTGTATTAAATTAAGTATAAATGTCCCCTGATATAAAAGTGATTATTGCTTGAAGTGAAAAGTTAATGAAAAATTTGTAAAATTGATAATAGAGTCCATGGACATGACATGTACCCCTAATTCTAGAATGATTCATAGGCTATATATTCAAATTCAAAATATTGGTCAATATTCAAAATTCAATGCTGAACCTTTTTAAAGGGAACCTTCTTTCCTCTGCTCAGATCTTGATGCTAAATGATGCAACTCTAATTCCTCCAGAATATGTACAGAGGGTGGTTGAACTTTATGGGTTTGACTTACAAAAAGAGGAACATGTCAGAAGTGAAGTGCATAACCAAAGTGTTGCAGCAAGCTTGACTACATGTGAAATCATCCAGAACATTGCACATCGTGTGCTTCTTAGTACACTGTAAACAATATTTTCATGATTTATCACAACATTTTTTCTTTTGTCATCAACTTAGATGATTTATGTTCAGATAACATCATATTTCTCCTTCATTGTAATAACTCAATTTTTTTATTTCCATGAACTTAAAAATTTAAGGAAACCAGGTTACTTATACTTTTTTAAGTTAAAACAACTATATTTTTTTACAGTGCAGTTGCAACAAAGATCCTCCACGCACCCTGAGAGAAATGTTTACATTTCCTGCTAATTCATATAAAGAGACAAATGGAAAAGTCTACTAAATCAAACACAGAATATCCTGAAGTTGGGTAAACTATAGCTTGGCGTATTCTGGAAAAGGACACGTTTATGGATAAGGACCAGAGAGAGACCAATACTGATCCTCTACTTACCATCAAACTCTCTGAAGACTGGCCCTTGTTTTTCAAAAAACAAAACCTGATGGGTTTAAGGAAAACGTACTGCTTCACGCATCCCGGCATCCGCAGGTCCTTACTGAGTGCACATTTAACATAAATTCATATTCAGGATGCTTTGTGTTTGTTAATAGATGCCTGTAAAACATAAGATGTCATTCATGGCTTACCATTTTTCATCAGTTAACCTACATATAAATGTTTTGTTTTTCTACCTAGTTTGGGTGAGGCCACAGATCTGAGCTGGGCACTGCTCGCTTCAACTCTAAGATCACCAGCCAATCATATCAGAGAGACTGACATTGAGAAGAATGCCTACAGTAATACAAAATATGAACCTATCTGTTGGACTGGAAGCCCTAAATGCAAAAGTGAGATGTAGGTGAGCTGATTCAGAATTAAATAGTGTGGTTAAAAATTAAAAAGAAGAATTTTGAACCCCTCTTATTCAGATACACCTAGTTCCGATGGAATACACTGCTTATTATTAGAATTAGCCAAAAAAATAAATAAATAAATAAACATTCAAATACATTAGCTCTGATTCAAAACTTTTGACTTGATGTCTGCTGCCTACAAGAATATACGCAGACACAAACACTTGCGGAAATGCTGAGAATGAATTGTAATGAGTTGTAGTTGGAACACATTTCATAACACAGCACCACACAAAATACAGCTTGCGAACTAAGAGCCTGCGTGGTTACACTTTATTTTGATGGTCAACTTTCGACATTCTACTAAGGATAGAAACCAAGCAAGCAAAGTGGCAAGCAAACAAAAACAATCTAGCAATAATTTTGATCATGGCTTTTCTTAAAAAGAAAACTGGGAAAAAACTATGATGCACATGAGGAACAAGTGGTGGTTTGTTTTCTCACTATTTGCGTGATCTGGTTCTGCGATCCTATTGGTTTTTGATTTGACAGTTGTCCTAGGCAAAGTGACACTGCTGGACTGTGCGTCAAATCTTTTGACTGCCAGAATTTTGTCAAGGATGAAATTTGATCGCAATGGTCATTATTCGGCTGATGGCAAACATGTCAACCTATAGTGATCAAAGACTTCAGATTTTGGCCTTTATAGGATCAGAGTCTTATAGGATTCATAAACTTTGTCCAAATTGTGGTCAAAATTATCCAGTGTGAACCCGGCTTAACTTCCATTAGAGTAACTGTAGACTGTTAGGTTGGGTTAGGGTTAGTAGAATAAGTTGACATGTAGTTACAAAGACGCTTAGTAGAATGTCTGTTGGGGGAGCATCACAATAAAGTGTTAGCAGATATTAAGCAGACAGTCTACTAATACTCTAATGAGAGTCAGTTGACAACATGTAGTTGCAAAGTTGCACACATATACAGTATACTGGAGAGGGAGGCTCCACTGATCAGCCACTCTAAGGATGAGCTCCTGAAAAATGATAAAAGATTAAGCCAAAAAGTGAGACAGAGTGAGATAACGACAACAAACAAGAAAAAACAACAGAGGAACAACTTGGATTCGGGTAAAGACTGATTTTATTCCTAGAAAATACATTTTAATAAAAGAAAGAAGACTTGAGCATGTGGATTAGCATCTGGCAGCTAACTGGAGTTTCCCCTCCAAAACGCTAAAGGCTTTTTTAAAAATGAACTACAGCTGAAAAACATCACAACATTTTTGATCTTCAGTTACTAAACAGAGGTGAGCTTTATCTAGCAAAAAACTTGAACAAAAACGGTATATTTTGACTTTATTCTGGTAACATCTCACTATTACAAGCTGAAAGCTAAGTTAGCTGCAGTTTTGGCTCAGTGCCCAGTCTGATCACCATGGCAACCCTGGCGCAGACAGAGCTGCACTCTGGTGCTTTACCCAGAGAAGTGCAGAAGTGTTCAGGCCCGAAAAAAAAACTTAAAGAGAAAACTCTCAGAGACACCCTGATCTTCTACTGACTACATTCAACTCAATGGGAGAAGAATCAAGAACAACCTCATCTTCTAAACCACTCTGATTACTGCATGGAAATCAGCCATCTGTGAGGAATACCAGCACATCTTTAAAGAAGGAATCGGTCGAGGTGGAAGACTAACTATATGCAAAGATGAATTGCTGGACACAGAGAACCCAATTGGCTTTATGCACAGCTGCACTACTTCCTGAATTTCAGCCAGCTCCTTTGTTTCCTGTCTGCCATTATTGGACAAACTGATTAATCCAGGTGTGCCTGGCCTCAGTAACAATAATCAGGCACACCTGGATAAATCAGTTTGTCCAATAATGGCAGACAGGAAACAAAGGAGCTGGCTGAAGTTCAGGAAGTAGTGAAGCTATGCATAAAGCCTATTCTCACCATAACCTACTATACTATGATTTCCCCCCTGCTGAAGGCCAGAGTAGAGGAGGAGAGAGACAAGCCTCATGCAAACAGCACAGACTTTGAGGAAGCCCCAGCGATTCTTTCACCTTCACCATCGGACCGTCGACTGAGAGACAGTTTAGGTTTGCTGGAACTGGACTTCACTGAATTCAGAGAACACACTCTCAGACACACGCAACACAAATATTTACATCCAAGAGCTCAAAGATGAGCTCAGGCAGCTGAAAAAAGACACCAACTCCTCCATCACTGAACTCAACAGAGCTCTCAGAGAACTGCGAGGAGAAAACCAAACTCTTCGCGTACAGATATGCAAGCTAGGAGGACAAAGAGAGAAAAGAAGAGATCTTCTCCAGACAGCTGCAAGAAATGAGAGAGCAGTTAAAGAAAAACACAAAAGACAACACACTTCACTACAGTACAGCTCCTACTACAGACTACGCAAACACATACAGCGAGCCTGCCACAAACACACAGACACAGCTCCTACTACAGACTACGCAAACACATACAGCAAGCCTGCCACAAACACACAGACACCTGCAGAAACACAAACCTCACCTGCCCACCCTCCAGAACCTGATCCAGATGTTCTCCTCCTCATGGACTCTAATGGAAAGTTCTTAGACCCACAGAAATTCTTCCCACATCAGAAAGTCTCTGCAAAATGATGCAGCACAACTGGCCACGCCCACCATATTATTAGAGACTTCACAGGACACCCCTCATGTGTCATAATCCACACTGGGACAAATGACCTTCACTCGCTGCGCAACAATACTGCTGACGCTGTCAGAAAAATGGCAGAAATCACCAGCAAAAAGTTCCCAGAATCCCGGATTATTATCTCCACACTTCTCCCACGACGTGACACACCACCACACATCAACCACAACATCAACACTGAAATTTACCATAGATGTTCTGCACTCCCAAACGTGCACCTGGT